TCATTGTAAAGACAATGTACATAATAAAATAGACGCCTCATTTTTGGTTATAATGATGAAGCAGGACCGTGTTGTATTTAATTGAGAAGGGAGAGTTCGTGACCGACCCGGGTATTGCTGAGACGACTAGATAGGAGGTGCACCGACCAGCATCAGTAATTCACTAGTCCTGAAAGAGTGGATTGTTGGTTCCTAAAGCGAAGGCTGTTCAAAATAGCCCCCAACCCCAGGCCGCGCTTCCGCCCAGTCTATCCTTGGAATATCATTTTCACACTCCTCTCTCTTTTCTGTTGCCGGTGAACGACCAAAAGTCGCCCCCCATCCCCTTTGGTAGACCACCCAGTGCGGCGAGATTGATGGCGGCTGGCCGGGCTGGCGAGAGAAAACACTAGATGGCGGGGGAATCCGAATGGTTTGGTTATAACTCAGGCGAATTCAGACGAAGTGATAACTCTTTCTGTTCGCTGAACTAAAAACGAAACTGAGAGCCGACTGTCATCCTCTTATTATGTTATGTGGAAGAGCAGTCAGTAGTTCATAGAGTTCGGTTCAGGCGAGTGTGGTGTTGGTCCGAGAAAATTACCAAAAAAGTCCTAAACCTTTTGTAATTGTGCCAATTCAGTCCTAAACCTTTTTTCTTTGCCATTTCAGGCCTAAAGCTTTTACAGTTGTGCCAATTCAGTCTATCCGGCCACTTTTGGCCGGCCGGCGCTAACGTGGACGTCGGCCGGCTGACGTGGCATTATTTTAATTTTTTTTCCTTTCTCACTCTTTTTTTTACTTTTCTTCTTCCCCCTGGCAAGACTGGCCAAATGGAGGCTCGCCGGTGAGGCCGACCTCGCCAGCCATGGCGAGGTCGAGCTCACCGGCCATGGGCGAGGTCGAGCTCAACCAGCGACGACGAGGCCTCGCCTAGATCTGGCGAGGTCGAGCTCGCCGTCGTCGGGCGAGGTCGAGCTCGCCCAGCGACGGCGAGGTCACCTCGCCGGCGAGCCTCCCCCCTGGCCGGACCGGCCAGGGGGAAGAAGGAAAGAAAAAAAAAAGAGAAAGGAAAAAAAATTAAAATAATACCACGTCAGCCGGTCGGCGCCGACGTGGGCCGGCCGGTGTCCACGTGGGCGCCGACCGATGTCCACGTCAGCGCCGGCAGGCCAAAAGTGGTCGGATGGACTGAATTGGCACAATTGCAAAAGGTTTAAGATTGAAATGACAAAAAAAAAAGGTTTAGGACTGAATTGGCACAATTGCAAAAGGTTTATGACTTTTTTTGTAATTTTTTCATGTTAGTCCGGTTTGAATTGGGCCAGTGTCGTGGGCCCGGTCCATTAGTCACTCGAGGAGACTCAGGAGGAACACTGGGGGGTACACTTGTAATTTGGCGGGTGCTGGCTAGGGTTTTTGGAGGTCTTCTCTTCCATACCTTTATATAAACGCTTAAAAGCAGTCACTTGAACGCACGTCTTCCTCTTTCTCTTCAACGTTGCACAGCCGCTCTCTCTCTCTCTCTCTCTTGATAGATCGAGCAGGCTCTGGTTACTCTTGGGTTTTAATTTCCTGCGTGTCTCTGTTTGTGGGTGGGGGATAAGGTGGCGAAACGTGGAGAGGCTGTGATGATCAACTTGAGAAAGTCATGCACCACTCTGATCTTAATCTGTGCTGATAAATTTCTCAACACCCATTTTTCCATCTGAGCCTCTCCCCCGGACACCATGTTTTGCTCTTTCTGATTTACTTCTCTTGCTTTTACCACTGCAAATCCTATGGTAGATGTGGCTCCCCGTTTGCCTTTCGATTTGGCTGTTCGATTTAGAACTGTAAAAGTAAGACTGTTCGGGGTTGGATTGAAATTTTGGATGAGGAAAGGTGGAACCAAGTGATGCGGCCTTTCAAAGGCCGAGCCATGATGCGGACCGTACAACTACTGCTGTTGCTGGGGATACACTTTGGTTGCTGATGGTTCCTTTCCCTGATTTTTCCTCTCTCTTTCAATTCTCTCGGTTTGACTTTTTGGCTTTTTACGGGCCTACACTTGATTTCTATTTAACGCGAAACGTGTAAAATTTTTCCGAAAAAGAATAATAACAAGTGAAGTTAAGAAGTAACTAAATGAAAATTGCCCCCAAATTGCCCGGAATTAAGTTTAATGAGCCTGGAAAGGATGGGGGGCTAAATTGCATTCATTTCCAAGCTGATGCGAGGGTGTTTCTAAGTAGTTTTGAAGAACGGTTTCCAATTTGTCCGGTTTAAAGAAAGAAAATTAAAAAAGAGTAAATTCCATCTCATTTAAGCCCGCTTGAAATTACACTGAATTGACAAAAAAAAAAAAATATTACACTGAATCGCTGACTTTGAGGGAGTGGTGTTCGTGGGGAAGTGTTATTCCAGAGGACATGCCATGCGATGCCGAGTCATGTTCTTGGGCTTGATGGGCCGGCCCATGGGCCAGTATTTTTTCCCCCATCTCTAGATTTTTGGCCTTTTGGGCCATTTTTAGTGTTTAGCTTGGGGGCACAAAGGGCCGCCAAACAATAGTAACCACCGTAGAGTTGCCCACTTTCTAAAAGAAAAAAATTTGTGGGCCGGGGTCAGCCGCACCGTGCTGGCCCATCGGTCTGGATTTTTTGGGCTCATGATTTTGGGCCAGAAACCTGGCCTGGTCCGAAAGGTAAGAGAGCAGGAGGATCGAAATTATGCAGTTGGGCTTGTACAGTTTTTGGAGAACTAAAGTCAAGAGACTCCAAGATAATTTGTATTTTTTTTTTTTTTTGACCGTAGGGAACTTGCCGCATTCATGAGGCACACCGGTAGCCCCTAATCCCGCCCGTGTTCTGTCTCTTGATGGCCCACCAAGAGTGCTACAAAATTAAGCGATTGAGCCATTGTTCCACCCAAGGCGGGATGAGAATCGCAAGAACTGGTGGTCCTTTATGAATTGGGCCGCTTTCAACGGTTGAATCTTGTGAATTCTACGTGAGGCCCACATGAGTCCGACAACAAACACAACGCCTATGATTTCATGTGGTTCCTATCAGTATTTCACTTGAATATACTTGAACATAAAGACTTAGGAACAGCCAAAGAGAATAATAGCCAGGACAACCTCGCTCTCGCTCTGCCCTTATAATTAGACCTGTCAAATGGGTGGGTCAGGTCTTAAATAGTTCGACCCAAATTGATTCATTAACCCGTTTATGATCCATTTATGTGCAATGCAATTTTCTTGACCTACACTCGACCCGACCCATACCCGATCTATACCCAACCCGATCCATGTTACTAAAGTACTTCTGTATTTAACTAAATCTAGGAAAACTCATATATAAACTGATATGAGAGTGCGAAGTGAGTAAGCGCGAGATTGAGTGAAAATGAGAGCGAGAGAGTTGAGTTAAGTTCACCCATATTATATCTATACCCATTTATGACCCATTTACTAAATATTACTGGCCTATTTATGATCCATTTACTAATACATGGGTTAAGAAATGGGTTTATGATCCATTTTGACAGGTCTACTTATGATATAAGCCAAGCGATAAGGAAAACAAAGTGCAATTGGCTTTGGAGAAGATGATTGCGGGACTGATTCAGACACCTAGTGCTGGTGAAGAAGAAGACAGGGCATGTCACCTCTTTGCAAATGAGTCCAAACATGAGCCCAGAATAATTGGTGCGATAACTCTATAATATCCTAATGACAAATTGAAGTTTGCATCGAACAGCTTGAGGGCGACTTGTAGAATAGTAGTATAAGATATTTCCAAAAACAGGAGAGTGTCACCTCTTTGCAAATGAGTCCAAACATGAGCCCAGAATAATTGGTGAGATAACTCTATAATATCCTAATGACAAATTGAAGTTTGCATCGAGCAGCTTGAGGGTCCAATAACTTAGGACTCAAACGATAATCATTTTATTTTCGAGAACAATTTATGGCCATATTTTTCTATTTCTATTTTCTGAACGAGTTTCTAAGTAGAAAGTTGCGTTTGATAATAATACCAAAATTTTTATTCCTGGAATAGAAATTCGTTCGATAGAGTTGATGTAGAATTTGTACATCAGCGGGCTGCGAGGGCGAGCTCTTATTAGAATAATTGTTATTTCTGTTTATGTTCTAGAAATAGAAAAGTAGGAAGTTTCTACTTCTCATTTCTGTTCCAAATCTATTTCCGGGCCAAAAATTTATTCCGGAAATAGAAAAATGAAATCGCGTTGCCAAACGGATTTTCATTCCAAACCTGTTCTCGGTAACAGAAAAAATAGAAAAATAGATGAACATAATGGTTAATCATTCACGCCCTTATTGATCAGGCCATGAGTCAGAATGTTCGATCTCAGTTCAAGGATGACATTTTCCTTGTAGAAGTCACAGCACGGATTGTCCAAATTCAAGCTCCACGCACATGTAACAGGTGACATTTTATGATTTTTCCATTGCCGTGCCAATACATTAAACCTAATCCCCATGAGCACTGAAAGAGGTTTTCGATCAGGGCAAGCAATGTGTTTAGACCCAGTCGTTCGACCCAAAAGAAAATAAGAAAAGACCAGTCGAAAATTGGTAGGTAAAAGTGATTGCTGACGAGTTCGCTTTCTTTATGTACATCTGACTCTGTCTTGCCTAGATATCATGCTTCTTATTCATATATGAACTATTGAATGAAATAATATTTATCCAAGTGGGTGAACTCTCTGATGGCTACAAAGCATTTGCATGTGAAACCTTAATGAACAGAATCTGGGTGTTCCACTGATGGGAGACTGTTTCAGCCATCCATGTGCTTCTTCTGATGATCTCACAAAACTTGGTTACAAAACTTTAGATGTAGATTTGGATCTCTTCATTCAGATGAAGAAGTTTCTAATTCATCTAACTTGGTTAAAAAAAAAAACAGTTGACCTCAATTCAAGTGGACAATAGTTGAACGCTCTGATAAGCTGGTCAAATTTCTTTGGTATTCTCGCTTGTTTTTTTTTTTTTTCCTTTTTCCTGCGTGACGGCACCGGGGTGTCATCTGTCATCGGGTACCTGTGTTTCCTATATGTAAGGAGGTCCATTCACTAGCAATCTCCTTGTGAAACTGAGCAGGATGGCGTCTTCGGGTTCCGGGGGAGACAAGTACCGGTCTTTCTTGACCGGCGAAGGAGAGAAGAACACCAAGTGGAGATTCGGTGGCCCCCCGAATTACGACGTCGTCAACAAGCTGTTCGAAGAAGGCCGAACTAAGGTTTGTACTTGCACTTGCACGCGCATATCGCCGTCCTCATCTTACGCAACCGGTCCTATATGTACTGCTCATTAGCATAAGAACCAATATGATGTGATGTGCAACTTAATTGGATTCGGCTCAATTTGAAAGCTTTGCAATTTTTTTTTGTTATGGTCTTGCTTGAAGATATGGCCACCCGGTTCCCTAGAAGAAAAGGTGCAGAATCTTGTGAAGACTTGGGAAATGGAGATGTTCCACAAGGCAAGCCCAGACGACTTCAAAACAGTTGACCCCAAAAAGCTCACTTTGAGCCTAAATGGTACCCAAAACATTCAAATTCTAGTTCCGTGGAGTTATCAAAGTCCACCAAATTCTTACACATTCGAGTGTAGATATTCACAGTTTCATTTGAGGATTTACAATTTGTCGATTTCAGGAAGGAAAGCCCAGAGCTTGGCAGATGTAGGCAAGCTTGGAGGGGGCTACAACTTCTTCCTGCAGACTGCGCTACCAGAGAACCTGCGGTTCTACAATCCAGAGGACGAGAACTTAAACTCAGCCCTTGTGGCCTTCACGACGACATTCCCACGCGGCTTCGCGGTGGAAGTCCTCCAGGTTTTTGCGGGACCGCCCGTGATTGCCTACAAGTTCAGGCACTGGGGTTACATGGAAGGTCCCTTCAAGGGCCACGCCCCGACGGGTGAAATTGTCGAATTTTTCGGGATCGGAATAATGGAGGTGAATCGTCATTTTCACATATAATGTTTCCCGTTATCGATACAGATACACCAGCCCTGAGAATACTAATACAAGTCCAGCATCCATCTTGTATGCAGTATGAAGATTAGGGTGACTTTGAATCCAATAAACCTTGTTTCGGGGCTTTAAAACTTTTTGCAACGTTATATTCAATTGTGATCTGCTCCAGCAGAGATTGATTATGTCACCTTTTGTTTTAATCGCAGCTCGACGAGAATGAGAAAATTGTGAAGGTGGAGTTCTATTTCGACCGCGGTGAGCTTCTCGGAGGTCTAATGAGAGGAGCAATCTTGGGGAGTTCTGGTGAAGAAGCTTCAGCCACAAGCTGCCCTTTCATGAGGAACACTGGTTGACCCAAAAAAAAAGGAGAAGAGGGGGGAAATGTCATGTGTCGTCCCTGTTGTTGCTTCTTTGAGAAGCAGAGTTTGTTTCCTCCTCGATGTATTATTAATTTATCGTGTACTTTATGATCATCTCATGTCTTTGTTTCAATGAATAATTCCACCAGAGTGCTATGTCTGAGTTTCAGTCCACACTTCTTAACATTCCCTGAGTAGTATCTTGTGCATCTCCTGCTCATTTAGCAGCAAACTATTTGTCCATCCAAAAAAAGAAAATGATTTCTCAAATTGAATGGTTTAACAATCCACATGAAGGTTATTTAACTTGCGTAGCGTTCTTAGATATCCAATTTGACGTGGCATTGGGAGGTACGCAGCAGTAACTAGAGAATATGTATGAAGGTCTCATCACTTGAATCCTCCTCTCAAAGGTACGGATCACGTGGATTGACCGGATCGTTAAAGATGACGACAGAGCCGGGTCCTTTGGCAAAATATGCATGATTCCAGGACAAGCTAAATCCATTTAAGCTCGTGGGTGAGGCTTAACGAGAGCGTCAGAATAACATGTAGAGTTATTGTCGGAGTTGGTCATTATGACATGTCCACCTACTTATTGATCAGGCGAGAACTCGGCATGGTCAATCTCTTCAAGGATCACATTTTTCCTGGAAAAGTCTTTGTACGGATTATACAAATTCAAGCTCCACGCGCATGTAATAGGTGACATTGCCATGTCAATACATACATTAGTCTAATCCCCACTAGTTTTTCATTAAGTTCGAATAAAAATGTAAATTCTGGCGGAGAAAAAGCAGCAGTTTCTCACGTACTTTTGAAAGTCCAAACAGAAAGGCCCCCGTCCAACTTTCTGGCAATCCTAACTTCACGTCGCAAGGCAAACGAGTGGCATCAGAGCTAAAGCACCCAACCAATGACAGAGCTCGAATCATTACAGTCAAAGTAAACACCTCATACGAGCCGCCTCTTTGTCTATTCCTTGGAGGATAAGGCTTTCGGTTTGATCCACATGAAGATTTGTCTTTTCTTACGGGAGTCACAGTCAGGAACGAAACCCACTTGGGCATTAACTCATCTCTTAACCATTTAATTAGAAGTTCCTTTTGAATTTTTGCTGTCCGGTTAAGAAGTTGCCTCACCAAAAAAAGAAAAAATTGTGCTCTTACGAGGGCCTATGCAGTCTGTCTCTACGAGGGTTCCATGGATGTGTTCATTATTTTAGTGTGCTGGTGCCCACGTATCTTGCATCCTCAATTTTTTAGAGGAAGGAATATCTTTTAAGAATACCTTTTAAGAGTTTCACATCGTGGTGATTTCGTGATTCAAACGAGGATCTAAATGGAGCTTTTCAAGGAACTGCTCAGGTTCAAATTTATCTTTTCTCAATGGGAGTCACATCCGGACACAAAACCACCTAGGCATTACCCCCTCCCCGTGTACTCGAGGGGGACAAGAAATGTTGGGACAAGGGAAAATTTTATTCCTAATGATTGTTGTTCTAGGTTTAGTAGGTGCATCTGCAACTGAGGGAGCACACTACCTAGGCGGGTCGAGATGTTTTTGAAGACTATGTAACTACTCGTTTGACTGGGTTTATGAGTAGGTGGAAGCCTAACATCAGTTGTTAGGAAGAGAGACGATTTGAAGGTGCCTAAGCAAAGTCTCATTTTACTCCAGGGTCGTAGAGTCATAAAAAGATAATACAAAGATAAAGATTGAGATCATGTTCAGAGTTGTTGGCTTGAGACTGTTGGTCAAGTGATGATGTCCCTCCCAGTTCAGCGTAGACGAATGATTGGGATGTAGTTTTGTCCACTCTTTTGTTTTTGTAAGTACAGACCAATCAAAGCTTCCTAAAGATCCTAATACTAACCAGAACATGATGAAAATGAAGCAATCAACAGGAAGCAAGAAATGAGAGAGAGAGAGAGAGAGAGAGAGAGAGAGAGAGAGAGATCTGCGGCACCTAATGACGAATTTCTACTGATTTTTTTCACTCGTGAGTGGACGGGATTCATCTTCCAGAAGGCACATGTCAGTTGAAAAGTCATCCCAAATTGTAGACCAGAGTCTCTCTCTCTCTCTCTCTCTCTCTCTCTCTCTGTGGAGAATTTGGAGTCATCTTCTCTTCTTTCTTACAAAAGGGTCTGGTCTGTCAACTATCATTGCGTGAAATTTGCCTATTTATATGTCCTCTCTTGTGCTTTAAACGTGTACCCATATATGAGTAGAGCAAAATATGGCAAGCTTGGAAACTTGTGAGGACAAGTATCGTTCCTACTTGAGTGGAGAAGGAGAAGAGCACACTCACTGGAGATATGGTGCCCCTCCCAACTATGATGCTGTCAACACTCTCTTTGAACAAGGCCGGACCAAGGTCTGTTCTCTTTGATAAGGAGTCGTGATTTCATACGAGCCAACTCTCTCAATTTCGCCTCTTTTAACACAATTAATGTACTCATGTGAAGGTCTGGCCACCGGGGTCTCTTGAAGAGAGAGTGCAGAACCTGGTGAAGACATGGGAGATGGAGATGTTCCATAAGACCAAATTTCTGGACTACAAATCTGTCGACCTACTTCATTACACCATCAGCCTCAATGGTGTGCTACTTTGTAATTGCAAAAACAGTTGTCTCTCGATAACTGGACTAATCAAAGCAAGTTGAATGATTAAACCCAAAAAAATGTTTCGTATTTAGGAAGAAAGGCTCTGACTCTAGAAGACAAGAGGAAGCTTGGGGGGAGCTACAACTCCCTCCTCCAGACCTCACTGCCCGAGAAGTACCGGTGCTACAACCCGGCCGAGGAGACCGTGGACACGGCCAACCACGCCTTCACGACAACATTCCCGCGCGGGTTCGCGCTGGAGGTCCTCCAGGTCTACTCAGGGCCACCGGATATCGTGTACAAGTTCCGGCACTGGGGCTTCATGGAGGGCCCTTTCAAGGGGCATGCCCCAACTGGGGACATGGTGGAGTTGTACGGAATGGCTGTTTTTCAGGTGCCCCCATATATTTGCATCTTTTACCAATTGCGTTCTTAATAGTTCAGCAGCTGAATTCTTCATTCACACGCATGTTTTATTTGCTATCTTCTTTTCCGTGCAAAACAGGTGGACGACCAGGAGAAAATTGTGAAGGTGGAGTTCTTCTATGACCGTGGAGAGCTGCTCGGAGGTCTAATGAAGGGCGGACCAATAACAAATAATGATGCTGTTGAAGAGGCTGCTTCAAGCTGCCCTTTCCTGAGAAAAAACTAACAGAATGAAACAATTATATGGAAAGTTTTTGTTTCTTGATGGTTTTACTTCTTGTTTCGGACAATGTATCACTGTCTGCGTCATTGTCATCATATCAATAATGCTCGGAGTAAAACAATTTCCGCATACTCTGTTACTTATACTGGGGATCCAAAACCAATCGATGGAAGATTTTTATGCACCCGATGCGCGCAGAATATCCATGTGTGTGGTGATGGCCTGCGCGGTGCGCAGTTTGAGGTTTTACTCTTCAAGTACTATAATCAGTACATAATTACTTGAATTAAAACGTTTCGTATTTCAATACCCAAAAAAATAAAAAATAAAAACCTTTCGTATTTATTTGCCATAAAATCACATTGCCACCAGTCTGGTTCTGGACCGAATGGGCCCGGATAATCACCTTAGCTAGCTCTGAATCTCGTAACCCGTTGACTAGCCGAAACTATGGATCGTCAAATTTGGGCTGCTAAAAACCTCTTATCACGAGCCACTATTAAAAGCAATTAATATTGGTGACCCTCCCGGTATTTTGGATAAGTGAATGAAATCTGGCTCAATCGAAGAACTCTTTCAGCCAATTTGATTCCTGGGTTTGAAGTTGAAGCTGGGACAGTTCCGAGGCCAGAATTGGGAACTAACTGTGCCCAGTAAATTCCATGTTCCTGAATATGGGCCGAACAGGTTTATTAGAGGATCAACCTAGAGCAAGAACGGCTAGGCCTATTAGGGGCGGTCATAGGCCCGATCAGATGCTCATTCATCTGTAGTTAGCCATGTTTTAGCAGAAAGATTCATACAGTTCCATTTTGAGTAACATCCTAATTGATAATCTCGGTATGGTCTCTATTGCCCATGATCAAGGACCATAGTACCACTTCTCATTCCTATACTGTAGCCTGCTCTTCGATGTCATTTCCGATGCATAGTTTTTATGTATACTTGTTTGCTTGCTTACAGCTGACAATTAACATCGATTTCCAATAGCCATGGATGGAAGTTCGAAAGGGACAGATCTAGTAGATGCAACCAAAGGGAAGCTGTCTTCTTTCTGCAAGATCGTTTGTGACAAGGCCGGCAGAGACTAAGTGTACAAACTCCTTCCTTGGAATCATCGATTCGCTACTCCTGATCCGCTCTCTAAAGAGAAGCATATTGGAATATGTCCAGCTGACAAATTCCTCTTGAACGTTTGATCTGTTTTCTAGTTCTTTGGACCCGTCCACTTGACCTCTTGACTGCAATACCATGCAAAATAAGCTTTCTTAGGATGCTGAAAAAAGAGGAGCACAACAAATGCGTGATATAGAAGTATAGGTGATCACAAGAAAGAGATGTTACACTCTCAACAAATCAGCCAGCAGGATATTTATGCACAAAATCTGTAATTTGTTCTTTTTAAAAAATTTCTCGTCATAAAGCACAATCCTCTTCCTTCCTCATATCAGGAAGCATACTCTCGGAACCTTGATCTTATTAACTATGCCCAGGTCGGAGTACTCCATTGATTTGCCTCCGCGTAATTCTGCAGTGGATTCAGACGCGAATTCTGTGAGGTTCATTCACACAGTGTCTCAGTCAGGGCGGATTCTGCCATCTGATAGCCGGTGGAATTCCATAGAACTCAGCTTCAGCCTTTATCCTCAGTCGCAAACCAATGCTTATGAAGCTATCCCCTCCAGATTCTCAAAGTCCTACGACTATGATCTCGTTATCACCGACAAGAAACACTTCAAGCGTTTTCTCTACATCACCATCTCAATAGTACTCATTGTTCTTGCGCTTGTTCTGCTGGTTCTCTGTCTCCCGCGGAAGCATAAGCATCATGGGCCCTCGAAGAATCTCACTCTTGCAGTGAACCAGGCACTTACGTTCTTTGATGCTCAAAAGTGTAATGATTCTCATTGCACCCGCTTATATCATTGTTTTCATCCTTTATACTATTATAAAATAAACTGATGTGATTCTTTCTTCTTCCTGAATCACATTGAAGTTTGTCTTTTGCAGCTGGGTATTACCCAAAGACCAGTCCGGTGAAATTTCGAGGAGATTCGGGATTGCAAGATGGGAACACCACGCAGGCTGGCCTTTTAGGTGGTTTTTATGACTCCGGGAACAATATAAAGTTCAGCTTCCCAACTGCGTACACAGTCACCTTATTGAGTTGGAGCGTGCTAGAGTATCACGAAAAGTATGCCGATATTGGTGAGCTACATCATGCGAGAGACATTATCAGATGGGGCAGTGACTATTTGTTGAAGCTCTTTATTCCTCCCAATGCGGCTTCGGATCCAATCTTGTATTCTCAGGCAAGGCCTAAGCACTTTCCCTCCGTAATCCCTACTCTCATCTGTGGAACTCAGTCAAAATGCTGTTCATCTTTCTTTATAGGTTGGAGGTGCTAAGAATGATACTGAGGGTGGTGATAATGAGACAAGTTGCTGGCAAAGACCCGAAGACATGAGCTATCTAAGACCCGTTTCATCTTGTGACATTGTGGCTTCTGACTTAGCAGGGGAAGTTGTTGCAGGATTATCGGCAGCATCTTTAGTGTTCAAAGATGACAAAGACTATGCAATACAATTAACAGCAGCGGCAGAAACTTTGTTTGAGCTTGCAATCAAAGAAGATCCAACAAAACAAGGGACCTACACCGCGGTTGATGAGTGCGGAAGGGACGCCAGAGCGTTTTACAATTCAACAAGCTTCAAAGATGATTTGGTGTGGGGAGGGACTTGGTTGTTCTTTGCTACCGGGAATGCGTCCTATCTCGAATACACGACTCACAATTTCAGTTCGGCCTTGCAAGAGGAAAGGACTAGCGAGAAAGGGGTGTTCTATTGGAACAACAAGCTCCTCGGCAGCGCGGTGAGTCTTGAGAAACAAACTACTCTTTTAATGCAAAGGTTATTGGTGTTCGTGTAATTCTGGATGGAAAATTAGGAATTAAGTTCTGGACATGTTCTTATAGGTATTGCTTGCGCGACTTCTATATTTTCGTGATCTCGGCTACCCGTACAAAGATTCTTTTGCATCATCAGCGAACATGACCGAGTCAATCCTCTGTTCATATCTATCGGATCAAATCTTCAATAAGACACAGGGTAAAAGTTCTTGAGTTTGCTGTTAAGGATGCTCTAGGCAAATTGTCACGTCTATCTGTCTATCAATTTGCATTAAAGTGAGCGTATGAGTATAAAAGTCTGTAAAGTTCTCCAGTTTATGCCTAAATTTTTCTCATTTCTCGGTTTCTTAAACAGGTGGATTGATACTCTTGAAACCTGATTCTGGGTCACCACTGCAATATGCAGCCACGGCATCATTTCTCAGTAAGCTGTATAGTGACTACCTCAATCTTCTCCGCATGACGGGAGGGGTGTGCCGTGACCGAGCATTCTCAGTCAAGATGCTGCAGAGCTTCTCTTCTTCTCAGGTCAGCTTAGCCATCACACAACTTAAGAATGCATTGTGCCCACTGTGCAAAGTGAAAAATTCTCTAGCTGTGATCATCGTCTATCAAGACCTGTTGATGGGCGGTCTTCAGTTGGGCTTGAGCTCAGCAACAGTTGGTTGTGCTGTGCCTAGACTCAGCCTGAACTTGTCGGTGCAGCTCTGTCCACTAAAAACACCGCCAACTGTGAACTAGGTCTGAAAAGTTAAAAGAAAACAACGGAGTCCAGGGAATCTTGATGGAATGGCTTCTTCCATGCTTGAATTGGCCACAATATGTTCCTATTTGAAGGTTAAACAATCGTCACCAAGCCTATGTCTGACAAGATATTGTTTTTTTCAGATTGATTATATCCTGGGAGATAATCCAATGAAAATGAGCTACATAGTTGGCTTTGGAGGCAAGTACCCGTTGCAAGTTCATCACAGGAGCGCATCGATCCCGTGGGATGGTCAGAAGTACTCGTGCAGTGAGGGAGACGGATGGCTGCACTCCAAAGGCCCCAACCCGAATGTTCTTTTGGGAGCCATGGTGGGTGGACCGGACCAGTTTGATCATTTCATAGATGAAAGGTACAAACCGTGGTTTACTGAGCCGACCATTGCGAGCAATGCAGGTCTGGTCGCAGCACTTATTGCACATCACAATCCTCCTGCCCATCCCGCAGACTCGGGCGGCATTAATTTGGGAATAGATCAGACGGGGATTTTCGAAAAAATCCATCCAAGTACTTGACTTCATTGGGAATAACACAAGATAGCACCAACTTTCAAGGGAAGTCAAAGATGAGAGAGGAGACTCATAAACTGGTTCCAACTGATTGCTGAGATCAAGAGAATGTGATTTTGCAGAAATAATGAGCTTTATGTAAATTAGGTCTTTCCAACATTTTAAATTTGGAACTTGGACTTAAATGTTTTGAAGAAAGGCCTCCGGAAACTCTACTGGGTACTTCACCTTCGTACATATTATAGTCCTGACAATTTCATCATTTTACAGTTGCCAAATGGAGCAAAAATGAAGAATCTATGAGGAGTGGAATAGTTCTAGCTTAACTGGATTTGAAACCGGTGGTTGTGTGACAATATACACGAAACTTGTGCAGTAGATAGATAACATTATCGTTCAGAGTTGATTAAATCAGACAGGACAGTCAAAATATTGACGGAAAATGCACTCTCTGTATATCTGTAACTTTTGAAGTAACACAGGACTGTACACAAAGTTTCTTGTACCTTTCACAAGTTCAGCTCTTTCAGAGCCCAAGCCAACTCTGCTCAAGAAGCTAATGGCATGTAATTACTAGAGAGGGTGATGATGCCAGGAGGGGAAAATTAAAAACACAAAAAAGAAAGTTCAAAACTTCATGACTAGTAATAACTGTACAAGTCTGGAGGTCCTTCGTGCGATCTCCTTAAATAGATTTCAACCTATCCAAGCCATAAACTTTCTGCAATATTTCAAAGAGATTCAAAGATTAAATTTTTTAAAAGAGTTAAATCCAGTTGGAAATATGTTGAGATGAGGTTACCAGGATACAGTGGATCTCTTCCAGGACAGGAGAGATTAACGAAACAAAGGTCTGTGTGTCCTCTTTGAAGTTTTCATAGCTGTCATCTTTTGTCTTGAGGAAGTTGATGAATGTTTTTGTTTCGGGCACCAGTTGAAGGGCAACCTGTAGAAATTTTTATCAATACTGATAATCTGATAATGGCGGAAATTACTTCATCAAGAGCATAGCGTAAATAACTACAACTTTTATTTAACAACGACTGACTTGATCGATCCTGTCCAATCATACTAGATAACATGATCGAGATTAAAGGGCTACATGAATTCAGAAAATATGACTGAGTAACCAAGAATAATGAAAAAGTGAAGCAACAGTCAGGGAATTGATATTACTTTGAAGGCGGCTGAGGAAATCCATCCATGCCACGGCTTTAAGGTGACATTGTAGGACTCCTCCACTGCTTGTTCCATCTTCTGTCCAGGATCATTAGCTAACCTTTGTAATAATGCCACCATCAAGTCCATGGATCTGGTGTAAAACAACCAACTGTTACTTGGAATTTGAGAATCTTCAACACATCAAGGAATTAGTGCTTTCTACCGTGGCAATACCATTGCAATCAATGGATATTGTGTAAATGAACAAATTTCAATTATTTTTAAGCCGAGGCTCTTCATCTCATTAAGCAGTAGTTATACTAAAACCATCCTATCAAATGCGAATTATGATATTGGGACTGCTACATGTTAGTATTGCGCATATCTACTGATACAGATGAGTTGGGACATCACATGGACTATGTTCGGTCAATAAGATAAAGTTGTCATGAGTCGGCCTAAGTGACTTGAGTAACCAAAGAGTAGGGCAAGATCGGATTTATTTACCTAGTAAGCCAAACTATTGCTTTGCTGCAGCTGTTACTTTTTCTTGCATTGCCTTCACCTGCCTCTTTCTTTATCATCTCAGCCAAATTTGAATACTTCGATGGGTCGGATTCTTTGAACAACTCCACTCGCTACAAACCAAATTGGACAATTAAACTAGGTGAACACAGAATAGTGAGAGATGGAGCAATTTCCTGGCCACGCCCCATGAAGGCATGAACCAAACCAGCATTGAGATTAGAAAACTGATAAATATCCTCACATAGACAATGACACCCTGATTTTGAGTGGACAAAAGGACAAAAGAGGACATATCAGGAAGCCAGACCATCGAACAATGCACACGGGGTACTTTCGTCCATAGCAAGAAGAAAAAAGTCAAAGCTTGAGGCCTCCACGTTCGGGACAGCACTTGCTGTCCAAGAAGGAAGAGATTTTCAAGGCATAACAAACAAGAAAGCAAAAAACAAAAACAGAGCCAAAAAACCACAACTTTCTATGCGTTCGTTGTTCATTTACCTGAACATTTCGATGGACGTCTAATCTCAGAACGGCCATTGTGGGACCAACCTTATCTGCAAAATCACAGAGCGACTGAAAAAGATTCAGATGACTAATAATTTGCCAAAAGCCTATCAGAGCAAGAAAATGAGAAATTCCACTTACCAAGAACTTCAAGGACTAAGCTGCAGAGAGAAAGAAAAGCCCTTGTTGGTACATGGAAGGCCTCATCACGCGGTTCGTCTTTTTCTTCGCCATTCCTAGCTCTGGTCACGACTGGTTTGAGCTTGAACATCAGAGAGAGCTCTTCAATGACGGACTTAATCTCTGCCCCTCCCTCCATCTTTCTCCTTCTCTTGATACCAACGTCTGCATCTTCTTCTTCTTCTTCTTTATTTGCTTGCATCTCGAGAAGGAGTATCTTTGGCTAGTGAGAGAGAGACAGAGAGGGAGAGAGAGAGAGAGATGTTTTAGACTTTTATTCCCCAAATGACGGCCTGGCTTATCAAAGCCTTGCATTAGCAAAATAGTTTTCTGGGTCTGGGCAAGTGTTTAAAAAATTTTATTTTTTTAATCCAACATTGATAATGACATTAAATCTGACCTTGGAGCTATCACCACCCTCTGACGTTTGGTTTTCGTGAGCGAGCTGCTTTTGTATAGCTCGTGCCTATCCTCATCGAGTGATGTGATTACTTGTTCTTAGCAAGAAGCAATCAACCCAGAACAGATCTGTGTTCAGGGTCTTGGATTCTAAAATCGAATAATAGAAGGGGAAGTTCAACCATAACAGCACCTGAGCACACGTTGAATGATGTAATCATTATATGGACCTCTGGTTTGCCACCATGTAATATGGACTTGATCGAGCGACAAGTGAACCCATCTTCTTAAACTGTTTGCCCGCGCCAAGTTCATACATCCTTTTCTCGTATCGAACCTTGTATGATGACAGAAACAAGATCAGCCAGCAAACTAGATGAGGATGCAATGGAAAATGTGATATTTGGTCTTAAAAAAAAAAAAGCCAAAAACGCTAAAAAGTCAAAAAGCAGCAACAGTGGACGCTCGGCTCCTTTCTTTTTAACCAAGAGCTCGCGCAGAGCAAGGGAGAGAAGAGAGGAAAGAAAAAGAGAGAGAAAGAAAGAAAACGAAGAAGAAGAAAGAGGAAAGGTTCACGTCACGGGAGCCTCGTCAATTAGGATCAATTACGGATCGCAACGTAGGGTAAGTATTCGTGCCCCTCGTTCATCCAATCCGAGTATTTTTCGGAATTATGGCATAATTTTAGAGTTTGATGAAATTCAAGCTGCGAAATTCGATTTTTGAGTTATTGAGCTACACATACACATATATATAAAACTGGTAGTTTAGGGTATTGTGGGGTCGTGAGATTTTACGGAACTCGATTTAGACTTACGGTTTACCCGAAACAAAATTTTGAAGTTGAGCGTGTGTGGTGAACAGTGCACGACTAGCAACTCTCCATGCCGATTTTCGTTGCTTTTTGTCGGTCAAGCTGGGGTTTTTGTAATTCTTTGAATGTGCTTTGTTTTGACTATAAGCTCGCTTGAAACGGGGTTTAAAGGAAAGAATTTTGGTGAAACCAAGTTTCGCACTCAAGCTTCGCGTTGCGAAAGGTTTTGGATAATCGTTTTGGACAAGCGATTTGTGGGCGCCTTTGAGTTGTTTCGTTAACGATTAAGCGTCGTTTAGCCGTTTCGTAGTTATTGTAGTATTTTACTTGGTTTTGACGTCGATTCTCGTTTAATTGTTAGGATTATGAGATCGTCGGTTCGAGTGAGTATTGTTGTTTGATTTTGGGGCATTCCCAGATAAGTAGTACTATTTCTTCCATGAATTTACAAACTCATGTCTTGAAAATGTTAGAGTTTTAATATAGTATGAGTTATTAAAAGCATGTTTCTTGCATAAATTGGATCAAACTTTTACCACATTTTAGTTGATTAAAAAGGGATTGAGAATGTTTTATGCAATGGTCTAAAATGACCAAAAATGTTGGTTGATATTGCTCACATCACCATGATGAGAACCCACTATGGGGGTAGTATGCATACTGTTTCAGGACGTCCTTCTAAGTCGAACCGTAGGCTGATATTGGTGGTAGAGCTAGCTAAGGGGATAAGCTTGGTTGCCTTTGTCACGGCGTTAAACGTGATTATAGTTCGATGATGATCATAAGATTAGTCGATGGAATGGACTATCAACGTGTGATTGATGAGATTAATTAATGAAATAGACCATTGATTGTTGTTTGTTATTGTTGAGTAAATGTTGATGACTGATCTTACACGTATTGAGTTTTGTTGGAAAGTTATTATACATTTTCGATATTTTACATATATCGTATATTGAATTTGAGATGATAAGATTGATATCGTTTTATAATGATGCATAGTGATTGTTCGATCCGCTTGGAAAAAATATAGAACTCACTGAGCCATGGTAGCTTATTTCTTTTATATTTCATGTTTTTCAGGTTCCTCAGTTAGTAGCCAATAGTTCGAAACTGCTTTTGATGGGACTCTTGAAAGTTGATTTTTTTGGTAGGATTTAAGGTTATGTCCTTCGAGAAAAAGGACGGTCGTGTCACTATTCCTATTCCCATAGAATCTGGAGTGCAACAGCAAAAGCAAAATTCAGACCGGGTCCGGATTGCATTCAAGAGTAATAATTGAGATGGGAACAAGGATTATCATAATGTTGGCTTCGTGGTGAAACGAAAGAACAGGAAAAAGGAGGAGGAGAAGCTAAAGGGTGTCGAGAGTAGCGCCTGCTGAAGGTTTGAAAGCGCCATGAAAACTCTCTCTCCATCGAGGGCCCTACTCAGGACCGACCTTGGGAGGATGAACGATCGAAAACACTTTGAGAAAAAAAAAGGTGTGGTGTCTCTATCTAGGGCGAAGATTGATACTCCTTTTGAGCAAGACCCCATGGTGTTGAACTTATCGAGAAAGGTCACTATTTTCTTCGATCTTTCCCTCGTAGTGAATTTTTCTTTCTTCCTTTTTTGACGTGCACATGTACTTGGACATTCACGAAAGCAACATCAATTGGGCACAAAGAAGAAAGAATAAATGTTGGAAAGCCCCGTGGCGTGTGGCCGGAAGGAACCATCTAAGGTCCACACGAGAAAAGAATAATATCTTTTTACCCCGCTTTGAAGTAGACCTGATCACGGATCAGATCAGGCTACGTATTGGAGGCGAATCTAAGAAAACCGATTTTTCTTGGGCCCTGGACTTATTGAACTTAGGTCCATTGAGGTCTGTCATTTGATACCAAAATAAAAAAATCCATTATTTTCTAGACATCATGCACGGATTTTGGCATTGAATTTTCGATCACAAGTCCGACCTGTTTCGAATCCATTCGGTATCATCTTTGGGAGTGCTTAATTTCTCTCTTCAGTTCCTGAATTTGTGGCCGAATCTCTGTCTGTACATAAAGCACACCCAGCAACGCTCATGTCTGTTATAGAGATGAACTTAACAATGGTAGTAAGTGGTTTCAAGTTTCGTACGATTTCCACCTGAAAGTTGTAACCTACTCGTTGAAACAAATTTCTCATTTTTTGGAACTTGAAACTTACCTCTATACCCTGTAACCTTGAACATATTCCGTCACAGGTTCTAAAGTCAGTTCTAAGTTCTATAAGTTCCCCATGTATTAATTGAACGATTGTTGTTGATTATTACCTTTTTTAACCATCATTTACTGCTATAATCCATTAACCAAAACTTATATTTAGATATGCGAAAAATATGAAACATTAACAAAATAAAAATCTCGATCATAAAATGGAAACTCGGACGAGTAGTTCCAGATTATGCACTCATCATTGGACGCCATGGAATATCGCAGAATCATGCGAAGATAAAGACTAAGAAAAACACAAAAACTCGTTTCTAGGTTCCGCCTACCTAAAACCTGGAATCTACGTGTCAAAACAGGTTCCTCAATTTTTGGAATCTAAAACATACCTTGTATATCCTGAAAGCTATAACTTGGAATTGGATAGGTTCCACAGGTCAAATTCTCCGATTTCAGGTTTTACACTGAAACTGTGCTTACTCCTACTTAGCAACATGCGGTAACAAAAAGAGAGAAAACCCTAATATATAATCTAATATAATTATGTATATGTATGTTTGGTGAGCCATTGAGAAGTTGACACATGGCTTTCTCAATGAGCGACACATCGCCCATTTTTGGTGACGCTAAAAATAGAATTGGAAGTTTGCAAAAATAAATAGGAAAGAAGTTCTCCTCAGGCACCAATTAAGAAAAAAGAAAGAAGATTCTAGCAAAAAAAAAAAGAAAAAGAAAGAAGAAAGAGTTTCTTCAAGGAAATCATCAACAAGCTTCTGCTTCTTCTAGAGTTTTTATTAGCCTAACTATTTACAAAAAGTTGTATCTTTTAAAAGATTAGGAAAATATTTAGAGAGCAAAAGTAGTTTCGTTTAGCTAGCATTGTTAAATCGGTGATTGTGATTCAGTTTGTTCGATTTTTTTTTTCTTAAATTGCTATTACATCAATTTCCATATTATTTATAAACCTAAATATAGCCTCCAAATTATTGCTTTAAAACTTTATAAATACTTACTTTTTTTCCCGTGCATAGCACAAATCTTGATGCTGATACTCATTTATATAGAACGGAAAACATAGTAGAATATGTTAAAAAAAAACGGCAGATGATTGCCACATTCGTTTTTTCCGTTATTCTTAATTATCTGGCTTTCTTTGTTAAGTTTTATAATCTGATTTGAAGCTTGAATACATAATCAAAATCGAGATTTTGTGTCAAATTGAATCAAAATCCAAAAAGACAAAAATATATTTAACCCTTTAGCGAGGAAAATTCACCTATTTTTTTCTTTTACCTAATTTTCCAATTCCATCGTACGAAAAGTCCAAATATTATTCTTCGAACATTTTTTTTTTTTGCATCGTCTTCCTTGCTTTGTCCGAACGATTCCTTTGCGCATCCGAGAAAAGACGGGAAATTTTCCATTTCCATGGCCACAGCAGCAACTGTCCCTCTGACAAGCGCGCGTCTTCTCCGTCTGCGTCGCAAACCGTCACCGCCCGCCGCGGCTTGGTCATCATCCCTCTCCTCCCTCGCTCCGTTCAAGATGGGTTTGCTCCAGAGCAGAAGCTCCGCGGCGGTGCCGCCAGGGAAGCTCACTGTCAGGGCCGCGAGAGCCGAGTCGGAGCGAGCCTCCCTCGGCTTCAGGGCTCCGCAGTTCCAGGTTCTCCTCGTCGCCGCTACTGCTGCTGACTGTCGTCACCTTCTCGCTTTTCCTAATGACTAAAAATTCATTCGGGTTCGCTTGTTGTGTTTTCTTGTGGGGGGGGGTGTGGAAACAGCTTCTCGAGCCACTCACTGGGAGGATGTGGAGCCTTGAAGATTTCGAGTCTTACCCTGCTCTGCTGGTACTCTTGCAATTGCCTCCCGAGCTCAAAGTTTTGGTTTTTGTTCTTGGGTCCTCGTACCGAATGGTTTTTTTGTCGTTTTTATGGTGCGGGATTGTGTTGTTTTTTTTTTTTTAGTTCCTCTTGCAATGGGCTCTTGGTTGTGTTCATTCTTGAGTAGCATCTTCATCTGAAGGGTACATTTTGAGTGCAGATTGCTTCAGTCTTTTAGTTGGGCGACCGAAAGAGCAGAAAAAACAGTCATTCAAGGCCGCTTTTTTAACTGGAAAAATTTGTCATTGAAAGACATTTTGCAGTCAGCATAACCTCCCGATGTGATTTGTTTTTTTTTCTTTTGCAAAATTATTGAGTGAATGGGGTTGCTTACATTTATTCTAAGCCTCAATAGATGTGGCCGCATTATATAGATTTGCCGGTTCTAAGTTATCTCATCTTGTTAGGAACTTTGTAAGGTGATCATTAAGAGGGTTCAACAAATGCATTTTCTTGGTAATCTTCTGTAGGTTATGCCTTGGTCTACTCTGCTTCGAAAATGAAAGAGCTGTATGGGAGGGAAAAAGTGTTAAAAATGGATTAGTACATATGCAAAGTGTTGATTTGTAAAACATAGCGTCAAATTTATTGTGGATTGTTGTTGTATGAATAAGATGAGGCTGCTTTCTCCTGATCAAAAACATCGAATTCACAGTTGCAAGGCCTTTCATATTGATATACAACCACACTCTTGGTTGTCTTAATGCATGTCTGGCTCTGAAGCACCTGGTACTGTAGAAAAGGTGCTTCCAAACTTCTAAAAAGTGAAACTAAACATTGGATCCTCCCCCCACGCTGCTTCTTGTACAAAATATAGTGTCAGCGAAGCTCCACCCTAGATAATGAACAAGATGCAAGGATATGGCTTACCAACTCAGTTACTAGCTTTGACAGTTCTTTTTAGCTGCCTCTCTATCAAGGATGGGTGCTTCCCACTTTTAAACATATAATGCTGACACTGCGCTTATTTGCTTTGTACCTCTGTTGTTCAGGTTATGTTTACATGCAACCACTGCCCGTTTGTTAAACACTTGAAGAAAGATATTGTAAAGCTCACAAATTTCTACATGAAGGTATGTAGACACTACCAATTGACAAGAATGCTTCTTTTCCAGTTCTGTGAGTATATGAATACTGAGTTGACCATATGTGCGCTACTTTTGTGTGCTGCAGAAAGGACTGGCAGCTGTTGCGATATCTTCAAACTCTGTGATGACTCACCCACAGGTTTGTTGCATATTGTTATATCCATTTTAGAGCTGCCTGAGTGCTCTTTGTGATTTGACTATGATGCATTTCCGTTTCACAGGATGGGCCTGAGTTTATGGCAGAAGAAGCTAAAGCATTCAATTATCCCTTTCCTTATCTATATGATGAGGTTTGCAATCTTGCTAAAAGGAACTAGACTTTTTTTTTCCTAAGCTGTTTTCTGAAATTTGTCCATGCCTATTGCTTCTTATGTCTTAGTAAGTCATACGTAATTATTCACGCATAGAAGCCTAAATGTCCTTGTGCTATTAAATATGTGGATCTTTGATTCATTCAATGAGACTTCAATATACACGTGCGCATTCAAATTTAAGTATTGGTAATCATGTGTGTCTCCTATCCTAATCTATCCTGTTACTCTAGCTACCAGCATCTTTTTGGAACTTAGTGGGCTCTGGCCTTCTGTTGCATTTTACAGTGGAGACTATATATGATAGGCGTTCTGTCAGAATTACTACCTGGGTGGGCTCGGTGATCGTTTCACATGAGGCGAACTTTTCTCCGTCTATATAGGCTTTTCTTCAATGGTACATGCATATCCATGGGATGTACATGTTGGTTCCTCATGTGTATCCTTGCTGAGGAGGACTCAAGTTTGAGGGGTTTTTTTAACTGGCTAAATATAATCAATGCTTATTCAGCTCTTTTGTTCGTTATCATACTCCTGTCCTTCATGCTTCAAGATACTTTAGCTGTTGAACTACTGTCCCTGTGCTGTAGCACAATTTTACGGTCATGTGACCTCAAATATTGTAAAATCCAGTCTTTTTTGTAACAAATATATTCAGAAATCATTAGATTTTGCATATAACAAAATATTGCAAGAGCTTACATTTGAATGATCAAATTGCAGAGCCAGGATGTAGCACGTGATTTTGGAGCTGTTTGCACACCAGAGTTCTATTTATTCAAAAAGGTGAACCTGAATGTGTCTCTCTAGTTGGTTTTCAAGCATTATATTGAGCAAAATTAAGCAAAAGTCTGTGATTCGCTTAGTTTTTGTTGTCATGTAACAGGGTGGTCGGAGGCCATTTGAACTAGTATACCATGGCCAGTTTGATGACTCTCGACCAAGTAATAATGTGCCTGTTACTGGAAGGTCTGTTGTGATTTCTTGAGAAGCTCAGCTTCTCACCACTCCTTTTCTATTCTGTCAGTTGAATATGTATTATTTTTCTCTGCCTAGGGATTTAAGCCTGGCCATAGATTGCGTTCTCAGTGGACAACCTGTATCATCGACACAAAAACCTAGGTAAAACCACAAGATCATCTACCCCGATCAGCATGCACACGCTCACACACACACATTCTCTGTAAATCCACTCACCGTTTGATTTGACTTGCTTATTGCTATTTGTTCTGTCAAAAGTGTTGGATGTAGCATAAAGTGGCATCCAGAGGTGAAAGTGTAACCCACACTTGTTTAGTTCCGCTCAAGTTATTGTAGTGGACTGTGAAGTTACCATTCCTGTAAGTATATTAACAGCATATGATAGACATGAACTCATAAAGTAGCTGTTTATCTGTTGCCATTCCTTCTTGTCTTGATTATATATTCTGACTTATTTCAGGTTCCTTAAGGTTCTTTGAGAAATTGAAAACGAAACATGAAGTTTGAGGTTGTACAGTGTTGGCATTTATATTTGGGCTCATGTGTATTCTGTAACTTGCCTTGTATCGTCTCTGTACAGATAGTATAGAAGCTGTTAAGAGTGAATTGTCACTATGTATGGTTCTTAGTTCTCAGCAATAAATTGCTTGAATGTCATTGGTCACAATAACACTTTTTTGAATGGGCTAACTGCTATCCTTCACCGAATATTCATGTCATTCTTCCAGGTGACGAGAAGGGTTGCTTTTTCAACGTTTTGTGTCGTAAGAAAATATAATGATACTGGAAGGGGCTTTTAGGCAATCAATAATGAAAAGTTTAGCTTTTAAAGTTAGTCACAGTCACTTCCCTTGAAGTTATGTGAAAATAGACCGTCTTCCCATGACAAATGCCATTGCACTTGAGAAAAAAGACCTAGATTCCTTTTGCTGTCCAAGATATCTTTATGCTGGCTTATGTCTTCCATGAAGCCGCTAATCAATTTGTGTACCTGTGCTCTCAGAAAGAAGTCTTCCCTGCGAGACTTGTTAGAGAGATAAACATACTTGGAAAGAGTCGAGGTCCATTTGAAAGGCCATACAGCGTGAAAACTTATAGAATTGGAATTGGTTGAGAGCGTTTTCAGGTATTGCTCAAGTAATCTAGTGTTATCATTGGGGCGAAATATCGGGAAGTGAGCAGCATCGTTGCAAGGGATGTACTGGGCAAACTTAGACACCTATGATGGGAAAAAATCTGCTGTTGGAAAGCTGTGAAGCATGATGTGACTTTGCAGTGTGCTGGTTTCATGTCATATATATGGTTTGATTTTAAAAATGCGGTGGACATGCTTTGTGACAAGGAGAAATGTCTGATTGTGAGTAGTTCACGTTGCAAGTTGGCAAAGACGGTCCAATCTCACAATTTCTTTTGCAGAACGATCACACTAATGATAAGAATGGAAAGCTTAAAGAGAGAATAGATTGGTCTGATTCTCCTTGCTACATGTCATCAGGAATTTTTTCTCAAGGAATTGAGGAGTGGGAGAAAGATATGTCCCTGTTGTAGTGGATGATTGAAGCACCCGTAAATGAGATATGTGACTAGAGACGATGCATCGTCCAACTTCCGAAAGCATGGATGACAAAATCTCTTCGACTTTATTGAAATAAGCAGTGATAAGCTTGTGAGGATGGGGTACCTTTTGGGTCTCCATTTTGTCATGCTTTTGGTTCTCTTTGTGCAACTAGCATCTTGTCGCCTCGTAGTTGTGGGACTGATTGAATATTATCTATGGTAATGTTTGGCAATTTGCAAAATGAGCGCTATATCAATTTCAAATATAACATTCAGTTGTATTATCTTACTTTTTTAATCATGCTTTTGGTTCTCTTTGTGCAACTAGCATCTTGTCGTCTCGTAGTTGTAGGACTGATTGAATTTTATTTATGGTAATGTTTGGCAATTTGCAAAATGAGCGCTATGTCAATCTCAAATAAAACATTCAGTTGTATTATCCTACTTTTTTAATCACTAGTTGCGATATCCACTTATACTTTGAGAGCTAAGGTGGAAAAGAAAGAATTTCAGCTTGATAGGATGGTTAGTTTCATAGCAGGGCTCCCAAAAAATGGCATGTAATTAACTAACTAGACATCCGAATAGAAAGGATTTTCTACTTCTCATTGTAGATGAAACTATTTTAGTGAAATTTAACTGTCAATAAGCTTTGACAAGCAGATTTTCGAGTGAGTAACTAGCATTTAGTGGACGAAAATGGGAGCATTTTGAATCCCAATCATATTCTTTTCCACCGATTTATCACCTAGTGCTCGCAAACAGAAATTTTGGAATTCGGATTTCTTGGCTTAATCGATGGTGTGCATAGAATTGAAGGTCTATTTACTAGCATTGCACTTCTTTCTTCGCATTTTCTTCGACTCTGCCCTCCATAATATTTGCTTAATCTAATTTTATATGTGCGTGAAGATTCTTGAATAGAATCAGTCCATGATACCTTGTATCGATGAAGCTGATGTTTTACAAGAATGATACAGAGCTCATTTCATATGATCGTTCCAGCATGGCTTCAACTGGTGTGATGATCATATTCTTCAGTGAAAGACATACATATCCTGTCTCGGAAACCGTTTACTTTGATCACTTGGTATAACATAAATGGTCAATTCAGTTGCTCAACGTCAAATAACTCAAGTACAAGAAGCTACAGATGAATACGTGCAATGTGCTTACCTTAAGAGGAAGCCAAATGAATTTTGGTTTGTGTTATACACATCAATCTATACAATGAATAGGTCATTTTTTAAGGGGAACAAGAACCACAGATCTGGAACTTGAGGTCCTCCTATACCTAGGAAGATGATCCGATGAGAGGTTCAGATGATCTAGAGAAACTGGAACAATGAACAGCTGCTTTTGGGTTGCTCCCGAAAGCTTTGCTTGGCTTCTCATGATCCTCATTTTCATGCCTGATCTCCTTGAGCATGGCCACTACATCTTTCATGGTGGGCCGATCCTCCGGGTGCGGGTTCACACACAGGAGCGACACCCCAAGAACCTGTACCATCTCCTGAACTTGTGTACCTGAACTCAATACTAATTGCTGGTCAAGGATGGACATGAACTCGCTTTTCCTTTCTCGGAGTTCTCTGTTCACCCATGCAACAATGTGCATATTTTCAGGAATCCTATTGTCCATTGGTTGCTTCGCGGTCAGAATTTCTAGGAGAACTATGCCAAAGCTGTACACATCACTCTTCGCCGTGATCTTCAAGCTGTATCCGTATTCTGCAAAATGTCATCAGTTACTATATGCTTCATCCGTGAACTTGTAAACGAAAATGACCACAGGTGAAAAAGTGGAAGAATGACCAAGAGTTCTGACGTAAGTCCAAATTAGTCGAAGTGTTCAGTTCAGTGGAAATATGTGCTAAAAGCTATGAAGGAACAAGCGTATTCTCTTGACTACACTTAGATAGTACTCCTAAAAATATGCGAAATTTAGAGGATTCCAATATTGAAGGTTCTAGCTGCAATAATAACCTTGTCAACTAATGGAAAACAATCAGGACTGAAGTCAGATAGACTAGTAAAAGAACGCGTGTGGCATGGTCCAACTTACCAGGAGCCATGTACCCATAAGAGCCAGCAATGGTGTTGGCAGTCATCGAACAATCCGAAGAATTGACTAGCTTTGCTAGGCCGAAATCCGAGATATATGCTTCGAACTGTGGTCCCACCAGAATGTTGTTCGACTTGATGTCTCGATGAACTATGGGAGGGATGCAATCATGGTGAAGATAGGCCAAACCGTGCGCCGCTCCTAGTATGATCTTGTATCTCGCATCCCAATCCAAGAACTGCCTCTTCTCGTGAAGCAGCTCGCCTAAGTTTCCGTTGCTGATGTAATCGAACAAGAGCAACCTAGTCTTCCCGTTATCACAGCAACCCAAGAGCCTCAGTATGTTCTTGTGCCTTATTGATCCTAGGGCCCGAACTTCTGCAGAAAACAAGTCTCTTTCAGGAATCTCCTCATTTTTCAATGGCCAGAGCTTCTTCACAGCGATAACCTGGTCCGCTGGAGTTTCCACTCGGTAAACCATTCCGGAACAACCCTTCCCTATGATATTCGAATCCGACAGTTGTGTAAGGATATCATTCACGGAGAAGTTAAGCTTCTGAAAGGGGGTAAAAGTCCATTGCAGATCGTTCTCGTCATTATTTCCTCTGAACGCACTGCCATAAATTTTGATGAATAAAATTGTCCCGATGGTGATGATTGCTATCGTCATTATAATGCTTAGAAGAACGCAAATGACAAGGTTTCTGGTGGATTTTGTGGCACGGATGCTCTGCCGTTGGCGGCAGTTATTTTTGTAAACGCAGAGCTCTGGGTTGCCAGCATAAGCAGTTGGAGGCAGATCTTGAAATAACTTAGTATCGGGAAGAAGGCCGGAAAAATTGTTGTATGAGACGTCCAGAGACACCAGATTGTCGAGATTGCCGAGCACTCCAAGACTTCCCGTCAATGCATTGTGCGAGATATCCAAATTGGCAAGCTTGGATAGATTTGCAAAGCTTTCTGGGATTGGTCCTGATAGAGAATTCCAGCTCAAGTTCAGCAAAATATCCAATCCTTGCAAATGACCAATCTCGAATGGAATGGACCCCGTTATCCTATTGCAGCTTAAATCAAATAGCTGAAGAGCCATACATTGTCCCAACGACCGTGGAATAGCACCTGTGATCTTGTTATCGCTCAATATTAGCTTATTCAGAGATTTGAGCGTGCCCAAGTTCTCAGGTATTGTCCCTTGTATGTTATTCGCAGAAATATCTAGCACATTGAGCCCTGTGAGGGCCTCGAAAGATGTTGGGATCATGCCTTCGAGCTTGTTTTCATGCAAATCAACCATTTCCAGCTTAGTGCAGTTGCCGATTTCCGGGGGGATCCATCCGCTGAAATGATTCTCCGAGAGTTCAAGAAAGGTCAGATTGTAGAGAAGCCCAACCTCTGGGGGGATTTTACCACTGAGCCGGTTTGATCCAAGACGCAAGCGAGCCAAGCTAGCACAGTCTCCTATGTTAGGCGGGATCTCACCATCCAAGTCATTCGAGATTAGCAACAATTGGAATAAGTTGCTGAGACTGAACAGAGACTCTGGGATTGACCCAGTGAGGTAATTATGGGAAAGGTCCAACGCTTGAAGCTTCTCGCAGTTGGCAAGCTCGCCCGGTATCCTGCCATGGAGATTATTCTGCCAAGCGAAAAAAAGAGTGAGCTTCTTCAATTTCCCAACGGTGGCCGGAATCTCGCCAGAAAACCTGTTATTATCCAATTCTAGCTGCTTCAGATTCAACAAGTTGCCAATGAGTGGCGATATTTCCCCTGATATGTTGTTTTGGGATAGTAGAAGTTCCTCGAGTGTGACTAAGTTCGCCAGCGACGAAGGAATCTCGCCACTAAGAGAATTTACCGAGAAATCAATGACGAGTAACTGAGAACAGTTCCCGAGAGCATCAGGAATCCTGCCGCCTAAGTTGTTCTGCCACAGCAACACTCTTTTGAGCTTCTCAAGCCGGCCCAATTCATAAGGAATGGTGCCGGAAATCTGGTTTTGATAGAGAAACAGATTCTCCAAGGCCGAGCAGTCGCCAATGCTGGGTGGAATCTTGCCGGTGAGATTTGCCGTGTAGACTGAAAGTGTCTTCAGGTTCTTCAGCTCGCCTAAACTAGCTGGAATCTGCCCTGAAATTCCTGTATCCGCGAGGCCCAGGAATGCTAGCTCTTTGCAGCTTGATATCTGCATTGGGATCTCTCCACTAATGCCTGCATTCCCACCGGCCCGAAAAATTTCTAAGTACCGCAATTCGCCTATTTCTGCCGGAATTCTTCCGGACAGCTGATTATCGACGAGTTCAATTTGCCGAAGCCTTGAACAGTTGCATATTTCTCTAGGAATCTTGCTGCTCAAGGAATTCGAATTCAATGACAACAGCTGAAGTTCAGACAATTTACCGACCTCGGTAGGGATTTTTCCTCTGAGGTGATTGAAACTGAGGTCCAAGCTGACTAGTCCTGTCAAGTTCCCTATGGAAAGAGGGATTTCCCCGGTGAGGTTCGCGCCGGAGATGACGAGGGACGTGAGGCGGTTAAAGTTGAGAACTTGTGTGGGGAAGGGGGTTGGAATATAGACGGATGTGATAGCTATTTCTGAGACGAACCCGTCGTCGGAGCATTTGATGTACTCCCATCCGCATGGATTCTGATGGTTGAAGTTCCATGAAGAGAAAAAAGTGGCAGAGGGCGATGAATTGAAGGTCGAGAGCCACGAGAGCAGAGAGAGACCTTCCTGATTCAGGGCTGCGATGGATGGGAAGAGGGAGAGGTTGATGAGCAAGAGAAAGAAGGTGATTTCATTGGTTGACATGGATGAAACTTTTGCTACTTCTGCTGCTACTGTTCTATCTCATCTATTTTTAGCAAAGACCAGTTGCTTCTGAAGTTATGGTCACCAAACATGAAGGTTTCTTTTTTTCAATGAAAAAGCCCTGTCGAAATGCCCCTTCTTTCCATTGATATTTACTGAAAAGGAAGTTTTATCGGAAATCGTGGTAATTAGTGATTAGCCATCCGCCTTTTGCGAGTAACACGGCCTGATCGAATTGATTGACAGCTTGTATTGACAAGGGCAGATCCTTTCATGGTTTAAATGCCGCGATCGACAAAAGAGTATGATAAGCAAAGTCGGCTTCGAAAGGTCTGAAACTAATTATCTGCTATAGACATGCGCAGGTTAAATTTGAAAATAACAGGCGAAACTATGGTGACCTTATTCACAGTGAAATCGCAGCCGATGCGAGCCAAAGCTTATATTCTTCTTCGAGTACAACATTTGCTAAGTGAATGGTGGCATCACAGTTTCAGATACGGATCTAAGGATGTGTTTGTTTTGGTGAAAGTGTTTTTCGGATTTTCATCTGTTTGGTTCTCCGAAAATGATTTGGTCAACGAAAAATAGTTTCCGGTCAACACAAATATCATGTTTAATTTTAGGAAAGTGAATTCCTTAATCTAAGAAGGTGAAAACACTTTCCGGAATTGCTCATCTTGAATTTGTTAATATTTTTTCTTTTCTTTTCTTTTCTTTTCTTTTTGTTTCTTTTCTTTTCATTCTAAGAAAGAAAACATTCATGTATTTTCTTTTCTTAATAAAAATAATTTAAAAATAACAAATAATTTGAAAAATACAAAATTTTTTGATAATTTTCACTATCAGATTTTCCTCACCAAACAACTGAAAATACTTTCCAAGTCCTTTTTTAGGTTTTAGCCAAACACCGAAAAATGAACTCATTTTTCTGGAAAATGATTTCCTGAAAAGTATTTTTCAGAAATGGTCTATTTTCCACAAAACAAACGCACCCTGAGACATAGCTTCTTTTACTTTTACTTTTTGCACTTCTCTGCTTGCAAAAACTGCAGTACGAAGGAGCTGATCAAATTGCAAAAACAATTTCAGGTTCATCTTCATAATTTACTAGTAAAACCCACTGCGTGGTTTGTTTTTCTCTGGCAATGTATCAATTGTGACAGAAACTTCATCTATCAGAACAGTGTTTCTTCAAGACAGGAGTTTTGCATCTTTTTGGAGGCTAAAATAAAAGGATGCATGAGGATTAAATGAATGAAAAGGACAAAGCAGCTAAAAAAGAAGAGATGGACACCACAAGCTTATAGATTGATAGAAACGGAGGTGAGATCTCCAAATCAGTTCGTGTCTACAGATAAAGTTGCTCCAATCATGCAACAGAGCCTGTTTACTTCTAAAAGAAATAATAAATAATTCCGTTCCATCCAAACCCTCATCTAGAGTTGGATCTCCATGCATGAACCTTCATTAATTTTATTTTCTTTTGATGACCAACCAACAACTTCCCCCCCTCCCCTCTCAATTTTCCTCTGCGATTCTTAAATTTATTATCTTATCCTTTTATTTCGACTATCCCGATTTATTCAAGGATTTACGTTCGTGTAATTTTCACTGCTTCGTTGTCTCGCTATAAAGAGAAAAGGAAAGAAAAAAAATAAAGAAAATAAGACATAAATGTTAGGCCTTCAATTTATAGATGATTAAAGTGTGATAGAGGCAGATCACCAGCTGTAGGACCAGTTGAGCACTGAGTATCAAAGTGGATTGCCCTTCGGGGAAAAGGGTTGGATGTAAAGTGAGATCATTTGACAAGACAAGAAAAGGTTCAAAGTCGAGAGATCGAAAGATCGAGAGGGAGAGAGAGAGCAAAGTGAATAATTAGGTGGTACTTAGATTGTCTAGAAAGCAAATTGGCAAGTACATTTGTCACTCCGATCTCTCTTCTTTAGCTCTCACGAGATTTTTCATTCGGGGTGTGAATTCAAGACCTCTCGTTTCCATTCCCCTAATCCTTTTTATGGGGATCACATAGCACAATGCTATCGATATTGCTCTTTTCAACTTTTTTTCATCATTTGATTTACAATCTTACGCATCGATGATGCATCGCGATTGATAGTCATACACACTATCAAGTGATGATGTAGCGTGGGATGCTTATTGAATATGTCTCGACATTAGGCTGTTGATCTCTTGCAATACGCACAAATCCTAACATTTAGACACTCAATAATAAATTCAAATTTGGAATCGAATTCAAGCCCTTTTATCATGATCAAACATAGTACCGGTTAATTCAATAAAGCGCGTGGTAGTAAACTTGAATTGGGAAAACCTTCGCCGCGCCAAATTCCAATGATCATTCTCTTTTCCTAAGGATGAAAATTACTGAAGAATGACTTTACACAGACATAAAGCTCTAAAAGATTGATTGAGATATCGAATGTGATGTGACAAGATGGTATGGTAAATCTAGGCAGTAAATGCGAGAGACGCTTTATGAAAGAAAAGTGCTGCAACCAATGCGAACAAAGGGGGGACAGAACACACTGCCAAAATAGTTTTGGGGCCATCTCAGACGACGGGTCGCTGTCGTCTCCAACAACAACAGTGCATGTTTGTCATGTGGTCTTTGTCGTGGATCTTCATTTCATCATACAATGAATCCCCCAAAAATTCCTTCATTACCAATCTTCTTCTTTTCTACCTTTTCTGACATTATCTCCTTGCTCTTGTTTGGCCACTGGACCTGGTCACGTCCGTGTTCGAGAGGATGGAGATGTTGCATCGACTTTGTTCCATTAATTCGTGTATATATGATCACGAATAATTGGGTTTGTAAAGAGTTGGCAATCATCCTATTTTGCTGAGACCTAGACCATTTGGAGTCAAGAATCACTTCTTGAACTCCTAAGACCTAGAGCATGGCACCAAAGTGCCATTGGGGATCTCGTGTTTTTTCGACATACGAACGATCACCACTAATCTAGCAAAAGAAGATGAGATTAACAAATGAATGAATAGAAGCGAGCTTGTAGATGGATATGCCTCCATGGAGAGGACAATGTAGAGAAGGATGGCATGTAATGAGTCCAAACTTGGGAGAAAAATCTTGGAAACGAGAAAAATGATGGTCCATCCATACGTGTAGGTCATGGAGAAATTTGTCAAAGCGATTTGAAAGGTGGGGGCAATTGATTTCCCAACCATTGGTAGTTGCCTCAACCATACGATTTCCTTTCGCTAAGCTATCATTTTGCATTGTTGTTCCGATGTTGACCTATCATCCCTCCATAAAAACTGATCAGAAAAAGTGAGAGAAGGGAAGAAAAGGAGGGGACAATACTCTAGGTCATCATTGTGATTTTGCGAGGCGAATTGCTTCGTCATCTCTCGAGTTTTCATTGAACTACTCGATGCTTGTCATTTCTCAAAACAAGGTACGTGATGGAAGTCTTAAAATGATACACGAAAACTATATAATCCCACCTCCCATACCACATATAGGTCAAAAAGCAAGGACAACAAAACAAATGCGCGGTATTTTAAGAGAAAATGATATAAACAATCTCTTAACATTGAATAGTAAGTTAAAGTTTAGGGATTACATTGAACGAATTAAAAGTGCAATGACCAGATTGGGCCAATAGTCATGGACTATTTATGTTATTATCCTGTATATTAATGAACACATTTCACTGAAAATGGGAATTCACCCAAATAGCGAGAAATCTTTCACAAAAAAATTGATTCTTGAGTTTTCTTTTTTGTGCAAATGGTTCTGTGATGATTCTGGACGGCAAAGTTGTTGGCTTTAAAAGTGAAAATAAAGAGACGAAGGTGAAAATTTAAAGTACACAGAAATAAATCTTACAAGAAAAATAAATGGAAATAGTGAACTTCATTGAATAATATGTTTTGGCAACAATATCCTCTTTTACAACAAATATAGTGAGTATTTATAACCCACTGACCACAATTACAAACAAGCAGTTATTACTCTAAGGCTCCTTTGTATTGCGAAAAATGTGACATTTCTGAAAAATATTTTTCGAAAAGGCATTTTCAAGAAAATGATAATATTTTTCGGTGTTTGGTTGAGATTTGAAAATAAACAAAAAAATATTTTCTGTCATATGGTAAGAAAAATCTCATTTGGTCGGAAATTGCTAACGTGCCTTGGCGCCGCCGCCCGCTGCGCCGCCGCCATCCGCCGCGCCGCCGCTGGTGGGCCGTCGCTCTGTCGCTGGCCGGCGCGCCGGCCGCCGCCGGGCCCGCGAAAATATTTTCCGAAACTTTTCATATTGTCCGAACACCGAAAATTATGTTTCGGAAAACATTTTCCAGGACTTAAAATATTTTCCAAAGGATAATATTTTCCACAAACGAACGCTTTAAAAGACTCTTAGCAAAAACGACATTTCTCAAAAATGTTTTTCGAAAAGGCATTTTCGGAAAATGATAATATTTTTCTTTGTTGAGATTTGAAAATAAACTAAAAATATTTTGTGTCATATGGTAAGAAAAATCTTATTTGGTCGGAAATTGCTAACGTGAATGCTGGCCGTCCTACGAGGTCCTATGTGGCACGGTCACAGTGATGTAGACAAATTTTGTAATTTTTAATAATTTTTATTTTGTTTTGTTTTCTTTCTTTCTCCACTAGTCGCCGGGCCTCGGTGATGGCCGGCAACAGGCCATAGGAGCCTCGGGCGAGGCTTAAGCTCGCCGCCTCGGGCAAGCTCAACGTCATTGGATCTAGCGAGGTGGAGCCTCGCCCGAGGCAGATTGTGACATTATGAAATTCGACCCATTTTCGAAATTTATGAAATGAATATATCTTCAATGCACTTTTAGTTAAATCTCCCTCGGATTTGATCACTCTTGAGAAGACTAACCGTTAGGGAAAGACTAGCTAGGAAATGAGTACGTGGACCTAAGAACTTGATCATGAACTGATACTTCAACCATAAAGATTGACGAGGGAATATTTTGGGCAATTATAGATCGATCCAAGAATGGTTATGGAATGATTCGCCAATGTTATACAATTAGATTGCGGGTGATTACGCTTGACCATTGTATGAATTTAGAACGATC